TTTAGAGACAGGGTCTCACTAAGTTACTTAGCACCTTGCCCTTTCTGAGGCTGACTTTGAACTCACGAGGCTCTGTTTCAGCCTCCTGAGCAGCTAGGATTACAGGTGTGCACCACCGTGCCCAGCCTATTACCTTATTCTTGTTGTATAACTTAAGATATGAAGTAAGCATCATTTTTTCTACCTTTGCATAATACTCCTGTCCAAGATTGGATTAGCTTCCTACATTTTATCCCTATAGTTTCAATATTGTGAAATATCTTTGAGTTTCTTTAATATGATGTCTTTGCTAGTCACTATTTCTCTAGGACATCTTTAATCTTTTCACCATAGTCACTTTCCTTATTTATGTTGACAAATTCCCCTTCTCTGTGTTCCTCTGCCTGCGTATCTACATTTTCTAGAATGGTCAGCTATTTCTTCTATAACACTCTTATTTGATTTGAATTTTACTCCTTGTGTTATTTTTTCTTTCTGTCTCCATTTTGTTCTCTCTCCCTATTTCTTTCCCCTTTTCTCTCCTCCTTCTTCCCCTCCATCCCTGCTCCTCCTTTTTTTTTTTTTGCCACACTTTCATTGGCCTTCTTATTGATTACCCATTTTTTCTAAAATTTCACGTGGAGTTAAAATTGGGACACTATAAAGATATATATATGTATATGAATACTTGAATTTTTATTGTAAATGTAGATTGAATAATAGAAAAACAGTGTCCAGTCACTGACAGAGTGTAATAGAAGTGATATGATTGATCATTGATCATGTGCATGTGTGTTCTTTAGTGATTTATGGATTGAAGAGCTAGCAGTAACGTTTGTATAATTATGTGCCATGGTAAATGAAATTTGAACCATGTTGTTGGGGGATTAATGTCCTTAATTAAGCCATAAACTAAAATTTACATATATAAATATGAATCATCTGCATATTAGTCAATGAAAAGTACAAGTTGTAAAAGACAAAAATTTTAAAAATGTTTATATTGCTATAGAAAAAAATTCTTGAAGGATATGTGTTAAACCACTGACCATGGTTACCTCAGAAGAGGGAAGAGATTGACATATCCTATGTATGTGTGCTGTACTTTTGAAGGGAACTTTTGATTTTATATACAGAGTCATAAGTCTTCTGTCACTGTTTGGTCAAGTATAGTGAAAGACAAGTTAGGTACAATGTTAGATTTTTGATACAATAGAGATTAAATTTTCTGTTTCGGTTGTATTTTATTAAATACACACTCAAAAATTTGCACTTTATTAAAGTTCTGCTGGAATATGTAAAAATAATTTATGTATATTTCTTTTTCATTTTTTATTGGTTCTTTTAAGTTATTCATTTGACATATTTATAAAAATATGGAATATAATTTATTCTAATTCAATTCTCAGTACTTCTGCCTTCCTTCCACTCCTCTTTCCCCTGTTACCTTTTTTCTGCACTACAAATGTGATTTTATATACATATATATGTGTGTATATATATTATATACACACATATATATACACATACGTTTTAAATTAGTGTCTTATGGCTATATATGATGGCATTTGCCAATAAATGGATGGAACTAGAGACTATCATGGTAAGTGAAATAAGCAAGTCCCCCAAATTCAAAGTTGAATGTATTCTTTGATATGTGGAAGCTAGTCCAAATTGGGGGTGGGGGATTAAAAAAAATAGAAGAAAGATCAGTGGAGCAGATGAAGGGGAATAAGAGAATGAAGGGAAGGAAAGGGAGATGGGACAGGGAAAGATAGTGGAATGAGTTTGACATACATATGTGTACATATATGAATAGACCACAGTGAATCTCACTATCGTGTATATCCACAAGGTACTAATGATAAAAACTATATTTTTTAAGACCAAGAAAAACATTATTAGTTAACATTATTGAGACAGGTAGTAACATTTCAGTCAGGTCTAAGAATTATGTTAGTAATATGTGTTAGTTTAAGATTTGATGTATTTTTGTCTTGTGAAGAGTGTGTTTGTTTAATAGGAGAGTTTTAGAGGGTAATAAGGCATCATTTTGGAAAGTTATTCTTGAATCAGGAAAGTTTTTTGTAGTGTTTTTTTTCACATTTCCTGAAATTTGAAATTCCTTTACAATTAGATACTGAAAGTAATAAAGTATTAGGCATGCCAAGAGATATTATATGATCCAAACCAATAGAAGAATCAGACAATAAAAATAAAACTGTTTGTGATTTGCATTGGAGGTCAAACAGAAAAGGGCATTTAAGTAGGAAGAAAAATTTTATTATAATACATTGAAGAAATTAGAAATTGAGAAAAACAGAGGAGTATCTGAAGCATTTCACTGAAGAATAGAAATATATAAATAAGAAAATCAAATAGAAATTCTGGAAATGAAAAATATAGTATTTCACATTCTAACTCAATAGATTTAATGGCTAATTAGATAAGTAGAACACAGGATTAGAGGGCTGAGGGTGTATCTCAGTGGTACAGTGCTTGCCTAGCACATGAGACCCTAGGTTTGATCCTCAGCATCAGTGCAAAAAAAATATTATAGAACCAGATTACAGGAGAGAATATTCAACATAGATGAAATACCTTATGCAGATTCGAGAAGCTCTGCAAAATCCATATGGGATACTTACAGAGAAAACCACACCTAGATACTTCATATAACTGAAAACCAAATAGAAAATATAAATAAATAAATAATTCAATGGGCTTTTGGGTAGTCTAAAGTAGCAATGATTTGCTAAAGTTATTGTGAGAGAAAACTGAACAATTAATGGTATAGTATGTGATAAATAACATTAAATGGATTTCAGTGCCCCATAAAATTACTTAAGCTGTGAGTAGAATCATACCTTTTTCTGATCATTATGATTTGTAGAACATGTATCTTTAGCCTACTTGGAAAACTTATAAAATGGGTATTAGCTACATTCCCCAAAGTAGTATCATTATATGCTTCTTCTATTATAGGATTTTAATTTAATTTCATGCTTTTATTAAAAATTATTTATCTTTTTATTTGTAACTTTCCTTTCTCTTCAGTCTTCAAGCAGTTTTATTAAAGTTTTAAACAAACACTCCTATGAAATTGTCAGTGAGAAAAAATGTATTAAATTTAGTAAGAAAATCCAATCTTGAACTTCAATAAAGTATCCCAGAATATAGAATCCTAAAAGTGTTTATTTTTTATTGGATGCCTTAGGACTACAAGGATTTAAGTGTTTTTTACAAAAACAATAAAAGAGGAGTCATTTGATGGTTTATTTACTCTTTATAACCTTTAGTAAGTGTCATGCTTTTTTAAAGTGCTTGCTTCAGGCTGTAGTTTTACAAGATGGGCTGTGTATTGGTCAGACCTTTTCAATTCTTGACCCTGAACAGATTTAGGAACACAGTATGTATAGCAGGCACATGCCCAAGCAGCCCAAAGTGTAACAGGGTACTTTTACTCTTCTTTTCAAACTCATAATCCACCTCCTACAAAATTGCTTGATTCTGTTTCTTATGTTGTCTAACAAAATACTAAGAACTCCTCCAGATAGTTTCTTGGTGTTATTAGCTTAAAATATTAAAGAAAAATATCTCTAGTATTCATGAAATAATTTTAAATTTAATTAAAAAATCCCTTTCCCAATAGTATTTAAATTACTGTTTTACATTTGTGAACTTAATCAATTATGAAGATTTTTGATATGGAAAATTATTAGTATAAAATATTCAGTGATTCTTAAATTATTTTCTTCATGCAATAAAGATTTCTAGTTTTTAAACTTGAAAAGTTTTATAAAAAACCAGAATATGCTCACATATTTAACATAGGTAAATTTTTGAATAATTTTCTTTTTTGGGATGTGAAAATTGAATTCTGAAGTTTTTATAGGAATGGAGTATATCATAACAAATCATACTGCTCTACAGAATTTATAATTTCTTAAAGATAATATATTTCAGTGTTTAAGAGACTCTGGAGACAGATAATATGGGTTCAAAACTGATTCAACTGTTTACCTGCTGTGTGATTTTAGGCAAATTATTTATCCTTTTGCTACCTCAGTTTTCTCATCTATAAAATAAACACAGTAAGGAGGGGGAAGATGGAAGACTAGAGGAAGGATGGACATTCCAACAGTTCCTCAACACTGGACTTAAAAGCAGGAAAATGGCTTCTCAGTGAGGTGACAGTATAATAGATGACAAAGTAGGCACTGGACATTTATCTCAAAACTATATATCTGTACAGGACTGACATTAGTGCTACTCCTGGATCCCTGTCCCCAATCTAAGAGGGTCTTCAAGTGATTGGGACACTTCAAGATCACAGAGTAGAGATCCTGCTGCTGAGAAACACAACTCAGCTAAGCAACAGTGAATCTCACCCCTCACATATCTAGCCCTATGTGAGCTTAAATATTACTTTAGTTCGTAGACTGGGGAGACAAAAACCACAAGCCAAAAACTAGGCCCCAAGGTGGAACAACTAGAGGGGGAACTTCAGGTTCTACCCCTCAATATCTACTCTTACCAAAAACAGAAATCCTAGAATAAAAAAAGAACTACATGTGTAAGGACACATATACAAGAGGAGGGGAAATCCATCTTAATTGATATGTAAGTCCAGGACCTCTGAAAACATGAGGAAATAGGCAAACAGATCTCCCCCCAAAATTCACAATTCCCATATAAAGGATCCCACAGATATGAAAGAGGATGAAATTGCAGAGAAAAATTATAAAAAAACTGATTACAAAAAAACTGATAATTAAAATGTTCAGTGATTTAAAAGATGATTGAAGGAATGAATCAAGACAACAAATACAGAAGATGAAAGCTTGTTTCAATAAAGAAGTAGAATATAAACCAATCAGGACTCCTGGAAATGAAAGACACACTGAATCAAATTTAAAATTTACTTGACAGCATCTCCATCAGATTTTGTAGAAAATAGAACTTTAGCATACAAAAACAGGACCTCAGTCTTGAATTTTAGTGCATAGAATACAGTAAAGAAAAACAAAACAGAATACCATCAGAATGTACAGGAACTCTGGGACAACACCTAGAGACCGAACCTGAGAATCAATGGGATAGAAGAGAACATGGAGATACAAGCAAAGGCATTAAGAACATTTTCAATGAGATAGTCACAAAAAAGCTTTGCCCAGTCAGGCATGGTGGCTCATGCCTGTAATCCCAGTGGCTCCGGAGGCTGAGGTAAGAGGATGGAGAGTTCAAACCTAGCCTCAGCAAAAGTAGGGTGCTAAGCAACTCAGTGAGACCTTGTCTCTAAATAAAGTACACAATAGGGCTGGAGATGTGGCTCAGTTATCAAGTGCTTCTGGGTTCAGTCCCCAGTAAAAAAACCAAAAAAACTTTACCCATATCAGAAAGAGATAGACATCCACACACATGAGGTATACAGGATCCTGTATAGACCTAATCAGAAGAGAAGTTCTCCAAGGCACATCATAATCAAAATGTCTAACAAAGAAAATAAGGAAAAAAATTAAAAATTATAAAAAAATTGATTATAAAAAACTGATAATTAAAATGTTCAGTGATTTAAAAGATGATTGAAGGAATGAATCAAGAGAACAAATACAGAAGATGAAAACTGCAAGAGAGAAACATCATATCATATTTAGAGGCAAACCAATAAGATTCATATCTGACTCAAATCAGACACTAAAAGCAAGGAGGGCTTGGAATGAGATATTCCAAGCTCTAAAAGAAAACAGTTGCAAACCAGGATTGCTATACCCAGAAAAGCTCTCCTTCGTATTTGATGGGTAAGTAACTTTCCATGACAAGGATAAACTAAAAGATAAACTGCATACAGAGGAACCCAAAAACAAATTTCAAAACTTCCAAATAGATGAAGAGCAATAGAAGATTGATTATCTCTAAATAAGAATCAAGATAGAATTAAACAAAACAAAAAATCAAAATGGAAGTAAACCACAAACACATATCCGTAATAATACTGAATATAAATGGTCTCAACTCCCAATTAAAAGACATAGATTAGCAGAATGGATCAAAAAAAACAAGATCCAATTTTATGCTGTCTGTAAGAGACTCATATCATAGGCAGACACAGACTAAAGGTAAAAGAATGGAAAAAATATTTCATGCAGAGTCCATAAACAAGCTGAAGTTGCTATTCTCATATTTGAAAGAGTTGATTTCAAACAAAAATTTACCAAAAGAGACAAGGTGATTATATCCTGATAAAGGAAACATTCCACCAAGAAGATATAACAATAGTAAATATATGTGCTCCAAATGGCAGTGCAGCCAATTACATTAAAAAATACTTCTTGACATTAAATTCCAGATAGACCCCAATATAATAATACTGGGTGACTTCAACACACCCCTGTCACCAATAGACAGATCATCAAAGCATAAAATCAGTAAAGATATATTCAACCTAAATAATACTATATATCAAATGGACCAAATAGACATATAGAACATTTCACCATAAAACAGCTGAATTACCTTATTGCCAGCAGCCCATGGAACCTTCTCCAAAATGACCATATTCTAGGTGACAATGAAAGTCTTAGCAAATAACAAACAAACAAACAAAAAAGATATAATCCCATGCCTCCTATAGGCCCACAATGGAATGAAACTAGAAATTAACAACAGGAAAAATAATAGAAACCATATAAACACATGAAGATTCAACAATACTCTTAAGTGAAGAATATATACAAGATGAAATGAGAGAAGAAATCAAGAAATTCTTAGAAACAAATGAAAACAATGATAAAACTATCAAAATCCCTGAGACGGTATGGAAGCAGTACTAAGAGGAAAAATTTATTGCATTGAATACCTACGTCAAAGAAGTAGATATCCAAATAAATAAGCTCATGTTCCACCACAAGTCCTCAAAAAAGAACTAACCTCAAAATTGGTAGGAAGTGAAAAGCATGAGAATCATGACAGAATTAATGAAATTGAGAATAAAAAATCAATACACTGGATCAGTGCAACATAGAGTTGGTTCTTTGAAAAGATAAATAAGATTGATAAACCCCTAGCCAGTCTAACCAAAAGAAAGAGAGAGAGGACTCAATTCAACAAAATTAGAGATGAAAAAGGAGAGAAATCATCACAGATACTTCTGAAATCCAGAGGATCATGGGAATTATTTTGAAACTTTATAGTACAATAAACTACAAAATCTGAAAACATGGATAAATTTCTAGACACATATCACCTTCTCAAATTGAACCAGGAAGATGAAAACCTAAACAAATATCAAGTAATGAAAAAGCAATTAAAAGTCTACCAACAAAGAGAAGCCCAGGTCCAGATGGATTATCAGCTGAGTTCTACCACACCTTTAAAGAAGAACTATTATAATTTTTATCAAATTATTCCATGAAAGCAAAAGGGAAGGAACACTCCAAAATAGATTCTATGAAGCTGGTATAACCGTGATACCAAAACCAGATAAAGACATATCTAGGAAAGAAAACTACAGACCTCTCTTCCCAATGAACATAGATACAGAAATCTTTAATAAAATATTAGCAAACTGCATTCAAAAACATATTACACTATGACAAAGTGGGCTGCATCCCAGGGATGTAAGGTTATCCTACAAATTATAGAGCTATAGTAACAAAGCTATAGAGCTATAGTAACAAAAGCAGCATAGTGTTGACATCTAAGTAGACATGAAGACCAATGGGATAGAATAGAAGACACAGAGACAAAGCTACATGCTTACAACCATTTATTTTGACCATTATAAACCATTTGTTTTGACAAAGGTGCCAAAAACATGTGTTGGGAGAAAAGACAGCATTTTAAACAAGTGGTGCTGGGAAAACTGGATATCTATATGTAGAAAGTGAACTTTAGATCACTATCTTTTGCCCTGCACAAAAGTCAAGTCAAAATGGATCAAAAACTTAGGAATTAGGGCTTGGGTTGTAGCTTAGTGGTAGAGTGCTTGCCTAGCATGTGAGAGACACTAGATTCGATCCTCAGCACCACATAAAAATAAATGAATAAAACAAAGGTCTATCAACAACCAAAACAAACAAACAAAATAACTTAGGAATTAAACTAGAAACCTTACAACGCTAGAAGAAAACATAGGGCCAATGCTCCATTATATAGATGCAGGCACTGACTTTCTCAAAAGACCCCTAAAGTTCAAGAAATAAAACTAAGAAACAATAAGTGGGATGTCATAAAATTAAAAAGCTTCTGCACAGCAAAGGAAACCATTAAGAGAGTGAAGAGAGAATTTACAGAATGGGAGAAATTTTTTGCCAGCTCATCCTCTGAATGTTTAGAGAACTCAATTGTGTGCATGTACTAATATGTAACAACAAATCCCATCAGTATGTACAACTATAATGTACCAATAAAAATGTGAGAAAAAAGAAGTATAAAATCTCAATGCAAACAAACAAATTCAAAACCCAAATAACCCAATCAATTAAAGAGCAAAATAAACAGAAATTTATGAAAAAGAAACACAAATTATCAACAAATATATGAAAAAAATGTTCAACATCTCTAGCAATCAGGGAAGTGCAAATCAAAACTACATTAAGATTTTATCTCACTCTAGTCATAATGACAATTATCAAGAATATGAATAATAAATTCAGGTGAGGATGTAGGGGAAAAGGCACACTCCTACATTGATGGTGGGACTGCAAATTAGTACAGCCACTTAAGAAAGCAGTGTGGAATTTCCTTAAAAAAAAAAAAAAACTAGGGAATGGAAGCACCATATGACCCAGCTATCCCCTCCTCAGTATTTAACCAAAAGAACTAAAATTGGCATATTATAGCAATAACAACCACTACAGTGTTTATAGTAGCACAATTCACAATAGCCAGATTATCAACCCAGACGCCCAGCAATAGATGAATGGATCAAGAATATGTTGTATATATACACAATGGTGTTTTACTCAGCCATAAGGAAGAATGAAATAATGGCATTTGCTGGTAAACGAATGGAAATGGAGAAAACCATGCTAAGTGGAATAAGACAGAAAGTCAAGGGTTGAAATTTTTTTTCCATATGTGGAAGCTAAAACAAAATAAGTGAAAGAATGTTGAGAGCCACAGCCGAAGGGGCCCCAGCAAACTTTCAGACTGCCAGCTGATGATTGGCTCACAGCGGCCCCAGCAACTTCTAGCTGATTGGCTCCTCTGTGGTGATGCTCATTGGGCTGTTTCCCCGCCCTTTCAGACTAGGGAGCTGCTCATTGGGGGACTTTTTTTGGCTCCGCCCACACGACCCAGCCAATCCGCCTCAAGAGCAGGAGGAGTGGGGGAGGTTGAGAGGCTTGTGGGAAGCCGGTGGTGGCAGTTGGGCTCTGAGGGTTTTTCCTGAGGAGCTGTTTTGTTTGGCGTGTGTGGTTCTAAAAATAAAGTTAGTTTCTTTTGACAAGTGGCTCCTGAATTGTGCCCAGCCAGACTGCGGCAAAAGAAGGCAGTGTGGGAGGGGGATCAGATTTCATGAAGTTAGAAGTAGGGGAATGGGAGGGAATAAAGAGGGAAAGGTAAGGAAATATGGAGTGAATCTAACTTATATATGTATATAAATGTGTCAAAGGGACTATCTCCTTTATGTGTATGTATAAAGTACCAATCAATCAATCAATAAATAAAGGAGTAAAAGGAAGATCAGTAGAGTAGAGGAGAGAGCAAAGGGCGAGGGAGAAGTGGAAGAAAGAGGAGGGGAATGGGAATTGAAATCAAATTCCTACTATGTATAATTATGTCAAAAGGAATCCATATAACTATGTCTAAATATAATGTTCTAATAAACATGGTAAAAATACCTATCTTATAAAATTATATCCCAGATTAATCAATACATAAAAACTGGTTAGGGCAATATCTAGATCATGGTAAGATCTTAAACCCATAGACTCTAAGAAAGAAGTGTATTATCAGACCAACATGATGAAAGCAGTATTAGTGTCTTGCACATTTCTAGTCCAATCACTTTGGGAAGGGCTGCATGTTATATGTGGCTGCTTTCTGTCTCAGCCTTCCGAGTAGTTGGATCACAGAAACATATCATTGCACCTGGCCAATTTGTTTTTATTATGGAAAAGTATTACTGCAAGGGATTCTCATCTCTCCTCACTGTATTTATCATGTAGCATACACAGTTAGTTGTGCATTTATTTGCTTCCTCTTTCTATGTTGAAGGAACCCTAATTGTGTCTTTGGTTTCATCTCTCACCAGTGTGAATCAGATAAACCCTTACTGGTTTTAGTTACTTAATGATGGTTCAATGACAGTCTGCTTTCCAACTTAGGAGTTGGCGTGTAATTCAGTCATGGAGTGGTTGTGCATTGGGGTGTCTGTTGGGAAGCTTTGGGGAAAGATTTCATTATCTTTTTATTATGAGAGAATATACTTTTTTGACTGCACATTATTCTCCTTTTTTTTTTCCCTTAATGTCTACAGTTTTGATAGCCATTCTGCAACAATGAGGGGTGGAAAGCCTAAGGAAAATCACTTTCATAATGAAAAAAATAGAAAGATGAAAATGTAATCATAGAAAGATAGGATCATAGCTCTTGATGATATTGAGTCAATTATTGAAGTAACCTATCTTCAGTTTCCTTTTCACTCTTATAAGCCCCTGTGAATTAGGTTTTGTTGTTACTTGTTTCTGAAACCATTTTAAATGAGACAATTTTCAGGAAAGTCTTTGAGTAACACAGCATAAGTATGTGCTTACAAGTGTGTATATGTGGAGCAAGCAAAGAACACATAAGAGAGTCACAAGGAAAATATTTCATTAAAAACACATTTAATCTATTATTATTCTTGGATTTTTCCTCATTTTGTTATGAAAATTATCAAACACACAGCAAAATTGAAAGAATTTCACACTAAATATTTATAATATTGTTAACATTTTTACTGTATGTGCTTGATTACCTAACTATCCCTTTAAACATTTTTTTTAGTTGTAGATGGACACAATACCTTCATTTTTTATTTATTTTTATGTTGTGCTGAGGATCAAACCCAGTGCCTCACACGTGCTAGGTGAGCACCCTACCTCTGAGCCCCAACCCCAGCCCCCTAACTATCCTTTTTAAATTTTATTCTTTGATAATTTCAAAGTAAAGTGTAGGCACCAGTACATTTCCTACGAAATACTTCAAAATGCCTATCATTAAGCACATTTCACCAATTATTCACAGCTTTTTTCTTCATACTAAATATTATAAACAACAAAATGTACAGATCTTAGCTATTTTGACAGTTGCCTATACTTGTATATTGCAAACCCTTATCAAGATATGTTTCCACAAACAATCAAGAACATGAAGAGAGAGCCTATAGAATGGGAAAAAATCTTTGCCACCTGTACCTCAGATAGTGCATTAATCTTCAGGATATATAAAGAACTTAAAAAACTTAACATCAAACACAGTTGATAAATGGGCAAAAGAAATGAACAGGCACTTCACAGAAGAAGAAATATGAATGGCCAACAAATATATGAAAAAATGTTCAACATCTCTAGCACTTAGAGAAATGCAATTAATACTACACTGAAATTTCATCTTACTCCAATGATAATGGCAATTATCAAGAATACAAGTTACAGTAAATGTTGACAAGAATGTAGGGAAAAAGGTACACTCATACATTGCTGGTGATACTGCAAATTGGTGAAACCACCCTGGAAAGCAGTATGGAGATTCCTAAGACAAATTTGAATGGAACCACCATTTGACCCAGTTATCCACTCCTTGGCATATACACAAAAGACTTAAAATCAGCATACTATAGTGATGTGGTTGCATCAATGTTCATAACAGCTCAACTCACAATAGCTAAGGTGCCTTCAGTAGATGAATGGGTAAAGAAAATGAACATATACATAATAGAATATTACTCAGGTATAAAGAAGAATGAAATTATGGCATTTGCCAGTAAGTGGATGGAACTGGAGGCTATCATGCTAAGTGAAATAAGCCAATACCAAAAAACCAAAGGTGGAATGTTCTCTCTGATATGCAGATGCTGACTCACAATAGGCTGTGGAAGGGTGAGAAATAGAGGTTCACTGGATTGAATAGGGAGTAATGGGGGGAAGGGAGAGAGGATGGGAATGGGAAAGACAGTAGAATTAATCAGACATAACTTTCCTGTGCTCATATATGGTCATATTTCATTGATCATGTATTCACATGACCAATGAAACTTCACAACATGTACAATCACAGAATGGGAAATTAGACTACAGTTAAGTATGATATGTCGAACCCGTGGAGGGGCAGAGCCGCCCCACGCGCCTGCAAGGTAGGCAGACCTGCGATCCATCAGCAGAACAGGCCCAGCGGCCTGCTGAGGGGCAGAGCCGCCCCCTCCCCCCGCGCCTGCAAGGTAGGCGGAACTGTGACCACCGACAGAACAGGTCCAGAAGCCTGCGGAGGGGCAGAGCCGCCAACCGCACCTGCAAGGTAGGCAGACCTGCAACCCACCGGCAGAACAGGCCCAGAAACCCGCGGAGGGGCAGAGCCACCCCCGCGCCTGCAAGGTAGGCGGACCTGCGACCCACCGGCAGGTCAGGCCCAACAACCCGCGGAGGGGCAGAGCCGACCCCACGCGC